GTAAAGATTTTCTTTCATTGTATTTTTATACATACTATTATATGTTTCTTAGATATTTTATTAGTTTCCATAAATTAACAATCAAAATAAACTTTTAGAAAATTTTCAGATATTGACAGCAAAAATTAAGAAGTAATTATATGGCAGAAATGTCGTTAATTTTTTGTTTAAACCAATTTAATATAAAGTAAGCATGGATATACAAATCTGTTTATCTGTAAAAATAATTTTGAATAATTGGATCTCATATTAATTGTAAATCTTTATTTCTTGATTGAAAAAACAAATAAGAACAATCAAAATTACTCAGTTTTATAGATAAGTAGATTTACATTTTCATATTTACAATATATTAATTTGTATTTGATAATGAAAATCAACAATATTGCTTATTATAATTATATTATTTAAATTCTGTACTTTTGTAGTTGATGTTTGGAAACTTTATCAAAATTCATTTTGGTTCTTAAATTATTGAAATAAATTATATATTTAAGAATATTATAATTTGCCTGAAGTAATAATGGAGGAATAAAAAATGGGCAATCTTTCCATATTTCTTTTATGATAGATTAATATTCTGCAGTTTGAGAGCAACTGGATTAAAATAATAACATATGAATATTTTATATTGATTTTCTGTAACTGTAACGTAAAATTTTAATTATATTAACATAATGAATAGAAAACAGTTTTTAATATAAATTTAAAATAGACTAAAATAAAGATAAAATTTATTTATTTTTTCATTTTAGAGCAAAAGGTCATCCAGCACCTGATCCATTTTATGTTGATCAAGCTCAGAATACTGTATTGCAGTTAGAATCATTAGGAATTATAGCACACATTGAAAAATTGTAAGGAAATTAAAATATTCATCAATAAAAAATAATTTATATTATTCAGATCCTTTTCAGTTTTGTATTTATTGTTTTTCATTTCAGTTTGGAATCTGAATCCTGTCCACAGATTTGTTATGCAGATTGGTTTGGTTCAAAAAATAAATTCTCAAAAAGAAACTTTGGAACATTTAGTAAAACATCTCAACCACTTAAATCTACAAATCAGAAAACATTGAGTCAGTCTAATTTATTGAATATTTCTTTTTCTTCAAGTCCTGGAACAGGTATATTTTTATAATTAGCATTTAAAAAATATTCTTTGAATAACATAATTGAATATATGTATGCAAAAAGGTTTTAAATATTTTAAAAATATCTTTCATAAATTCTGATAAGAAATATGTGTAAATTGATATATTTAATTTAATATTTAGGTACAAGAAAAATGCCAGAAATCACATCTATTCTTAAAAAGAAAACAAGTACTGATGGGGAAAGGCAACAATTGTTATCTACAGTTGGTAATATAATATTTTTACTTTATATCATAATTGTTTGGCATTTCCAAACTAAACATATAAAATAATAATATATCTTAAAATTTTTAAAATTCAGGATGAAATATATTTTAAAAAGTTGAAGACTAAATACAAATAAAAAAAATAGTTTATTATTTAAAATAATTGCTGGAATAGGTTGTTTATCTAAGTATTTACAGTAATCCAGTTCATGATCAATATATGGGATAATTTATATTATTTTCTATATAATTAATTAAAAAATAAATTAGTTTTATTAATAATAAATACATGTACATTATTAATATTTTTTATAATAGGACAAGGAGATGCTGATTCAGATGCTGAAACTACTCATTCACCTGGAACTAGTGATGAAATGACACCAATATTAGGACGGAGGGGAAAAACAGAGAGCAGTAGTCATACATCGGCAAGTTCTGATGCTGATTCAAGAACAAGTAGTGAAGGAGCAATATATAGGGTATATTTTTCAAAATTAATGTTATTTATAAAAAATCAATGTAATGGAATTATATTTAAATTATTTCTTTATTCATTTCAATTTAAAAGGTCAAGATATTTTCAGTAATCTGTCCCTTGTTCTGGTGTTGATCCTTTAAATTCAATGTAATTGAAATACTTTAAATGCAGAAAAATAATTAAATTATATACAAATATTAAATATAAAATGTAATATATTTAATTGAAATTCTTAATATTTTCAGTTGAAACTTGATCAATTTATAAAGTTATTCCTTTCTTATTATTAATTAACAAAAGTTAATTCTACATAAAAAAGTGTTAGTGAAAAATTATATTTTTTTTCAGATAATTTATTATAACTTGGCTAACATCATAAAATTTGTAAAAAAAAAAAATATTTAATTTTTTCAGTTACTTATAAAGATAATGAGAAATAGCAAATCAGTATAATTGTGCATGCCTACAAATATGCATGAACAATAAAAAGTAGTAATTAATTTAAATTTTTAAAGTAATTTATATTGATTTTATAAGTTTTAAGTTAAATATATTAAATAATAGTTGTTAGATAGTGAGAGTAATTATCGAGTAATGAATAATAGTAAAGAATGCATTGATAAGCAAAATTATTAATAAATTAATTTAAATGTATTTTTATAATTTATAACTATTTCAGTTAAATTTTTATTATGCAATAATCAAAATGGTAATAAATTTACATGCTAAAATGAAACTTATGTTAAATAGTCAATCATGGAATTGCAGTTGCAACAATTAATCAAGTTTCCTATAAGAACTGATTAGTCTAAAATTAAAGTGGTGTAAAGTGTTTGAAAAGGCAAGCATTAGTCCAAAAGGACTAATCAGTTCTTATGGGGAAACTTAGTAAAACTGATGTTCTTTTGTTTATTTATTTCTTTATTAGTTATTTATTTTGCATTGAATTTTAGAAATGCCATTAAGCAGTTGATTTTTGCCCCAGTACATAACAAGCTCAAAAGAAGTTTAAAAATTACAAAACAAACAATGGAAAAACATGAACAAGTAATAACATGATACGTAAAAAATATATATAGCAGAGAAATATAAATAAAAAACATACAGATAATATACATTCATTAAAAAATATTAAAAAAAATCTTGTATTAAAAAACACATTCAGCAGTATGCTAAATAAAAAGTGTAATTATAACAAGCAAAAATGTGGGAATAAAAAAGAAAATAGTAAGAATATTAAAAAGAACAATAATAATAATAATTAAGAAGTAAAAAGTAAAGAGAAATATTTATGAGTTATGTAAGAAATGTTGACATGTCTGCTTATAATGAGCAAATTTTTCACGGAGTAGACATTGTTGGGTGCATGTTATCAGCTATTTGATAAAAATAAGATCTTTGTGACAATGACAAACAAAAATGAGGAGTATATATACATGTAGTTTTATGAGTGTTTCTTCCATGGATTCTTAGATTTAGCCAAAATTGTGGAATTAAACTGTTAAAATATTTTAAAAAGAGAATTTGATTTGATATATTTATTTCTTTTGAAGAAATCGGGAAGATCTAGCCTTACTCTTGCAACATTTGGGTTATTGGTTTATGGTAGGTTACTAAACTTATTTAAAAGTAGGTAAAGTTTATCAAGTTCTCTCAATATTTTAGCAAGTAAAGAGGGGCCACTCGTGGACCAAATGGGAAGACAATAGTCCATAAGGGATTGAAAATTGGCAAAAAATATGGACCATAGAACAGATTTAGAGGATATGGTTTTACAAAAACACCATAATATCCTGCAATGGATGGCCAGTGATTTTACTGTCTTGTCTGTATGGCTTCTAAAAGTTAATTTAGTGTTGAAAATAATTTCGAGATCATTGTATGTGTTGACATATTGTAATGCATGAGTGTTTGTAAAAAGGGGTGATAGGGGTTTATTCCTGAGTAAAGAAAAACACATTATTACATATTTTTGTACATTAATTTTAAGGTTAACTTTACTAAAGACAGAGGATAAGTGGTGAAGATTGAATTAGAGAGTAGTGGGATCATGATTTAACAACTTTATATCATCTGCATAGTTGATAATGGAAGAATTTAAATTAATAAACAACTTGTATAAGTTTATAACCTCTAAAACCTGGATGGTGCGAGGAAACACGTATATTAAAAAAAATGAAAGGGAAATCATTACTGCAAATGAGAAAAAAAAATGTTTTTTTATGCAACATCAGATTGTATAATATAAATTTTTAACACTTGCACCATCCTAGGTAGTAAGTAAGTGTCATACAAGTGTGATGTTGAGATGCTTAAGTATGGCAGGACGAATCCACTTTGTTGGAGATAAGGTTGGCCAAGCTAACTCCTCTAAATACTGTATGGTAGTCAGAATTGTCAATGAATTGCAGTTGAGATGGTTGGTGATTTTACAACAAAACGATTATCTCATTAAGAATTAAGTGATTGTAAAAAAATAACTAGGTAGTCAAGTAAATTGCAGAATATTCCAGAAGATCATATATTAGTCCATATTCAATTTTAAAAACAAGTAAATATTATTTTAAACTAAAATTTTATTGTGGTTAAATTATGGTCATTGTTGTACAAAACTCTTTTCAGATTTTTATCATTATATATTTAAAAATAAGATATTATTACTTAAATGCAAGATTATTTTAAATTCATTTCTTGTTACTTTAATATTTCTTAAAGTTAATCTAAATATATAAAATTACTTGTCCTGACTGATTGATTGATTCATCATTGCTCAGAGCAAACTGTTGAACCTAAAGAGATGAAATTTGATACACAGGGTATGTCATGAAAATGCACACTAAGAAGGGATTTTTCGAAATTCCCCCGTGGGGGAGAGAGGGAGAGCATAAAGGCTTAACCTGAAGAACGGCTTCTACTGTACTATTTTAGATGCGATTTTTTGTTTTCAACTATGTTTAGCCTTCATTGAGTACTTAGGTGTATTAAATTGATAACATTTCAGACATTGTTATAAATATTTTTATATATTTTGATTTTTTAACCAAATGTTCAAACTGTTTTAAATTTGAATTTATTATTGCATATTGGTTCGATTATAGAACGATTGTAAGCATTCCAGAAAATTGATCAAATTGAAAACAGTTCGTTTGATTCTCAGCGGTAGGTGTTATATAACAATTACTATGGTTGTTGAAATACTGAATATAAATGGTGTTTGCTTTCAAAATCCACACAGGCAAAGTCACAAGTAACAGCTAGTTTTTATATAAATAAATTATATAAATTACATTTTAAATATGTAAAATATTTAATAATAATGTCAAATACAGATAACAAAATATTTATTTATTAAATTTTATTTTAAAAAACTGTGCAGTGTTAATAAGTATAAATTAAATAAATACAGCTGTCCCTTGATAATCTGACAAGTATAGGACCAAAGGGGTATCAGATTACCAAAAGTGTCGGGATTACCGAAAGTGATTACATATTTGGCATTATTTTGAAAGCAGTAGCCTACAATATTCTTACATTTTATGAGTAAAAAGTAAGAATAGTTAATATGGAAATGAAATACCCATTTCGGTTAACTAAAACATGTTTATTAAAAGAAATATGGAAGCCAATAAATGTACAGTACATACAGTATGTATAGGCATAAATAATACAGTACATACAGTAATTTATAAACATTATAACTAAATGCCACAACATAGGTAGATTAATTATGTACATATGTAAATATGTACATACTGTGTTCACACTTTGAAGAAATCTTTGATTGTCTTTTGCTTTTTCTTGTTT